AAGTTATCCTCCTCACTGGAGGACAGTGCATTATGCTAGCCAGGAGCTTAGTTTATTCACTTGTGAGGAGGAGGTTGTGGCATCCTCTCCTTGATCCAGTAACTCAGACAACAGGAAATAATTTGAAAGGAGATTGGGAGAAAGGTCAAATTCAGGACATACTTCACAGCTTGGTGGTTAGGAAATTTCCCCAAGAGAATTTCACAGAAATCCGGAGAAGATAATTAGAGGAACTCTGAAAATATATCTTGTCTTGTATCTGCATTAGCTGGAGAAAATTGTAAATGTAGTTATTTTATTTTAGGCTATAGTCTTCAATAGAAAATTATGGTTAACCACTTGGTTGGATAGTAACTAATAGTTTTCTGTTATTTGTTTTCATCACAGACCTATGTAGCCAACATTCTTATTGCAGTGAATCCATACTTTGATATACCTAAGTTTTATTCTTCAGAGACTATTAAAAATTACCAGGGTAAATCACTTGGAACTTTGCCACCACATGTTTTTGCTATTGGTATGTATTGAGCCTGTATTTGTCTTTTGCAAAGTAAGCATTGAATACTTCACAGTTTTCTATAAATTGCCACCTGTAACAGTAATTAATTTATTTTGAACTATTATAAAATAAAACCACTAAAATTGCAAATCTTCTCATCTTTGATATGCAGTTTGAAGAACTTGGAAATTAGCAACCCCAACAACCCTGTCATGATTATTCTGCACCTCCAGTGTTTTAAGTCTAAGCAATGAAAATATAATTTGCAGCCATTAAAAAAAAGAAATCAGGTTTTACAAGTGAAGAATGGCATAATACTGACTGGCACTGTCTTTCAGTCTAGTGATTTTCTTTGCATTTTGTTATGTTGCCAGAGCATATACACTGTTTGTTTTAATAAGCTTGTGTTACAGAGAGAAAGTACATTGAAATGTTATTTATGGGATAAACCCATAGTCACTTTTTAAAAGAAAAAAATAATTGGAAACTTCAATTAAGCTTTAACTTGTTAAATCTTGTTAACTTCTCATTGTGTTGCATTTTGTTTTGTAATCAAGAGTATAAATATCCATGATTTAGTACCTGTTGCATAACAAGAAACTGATGTTTTCCCAACTTTCCTTGTCTCAGATGTTATTTGTTACAACGTACAACTGAAAATTTCCATTTAAAAACATATGAAAGTAATATTTCTTATGATTTTGTAAATACATTTATTTCAAGAGATTTAGTTCTAGGTGGTTGGTTTTGGTTTTCTTTGTCCTGGATATAGTTGAGTAGGTCTTTGTTTTCAAAGACTTTGAGTTCTTATGTGTCAGTGTTGGAAGATGAATAGCTGTAGTATAAATTAAAGGGAAACACACTTTAATAATTTGTAATTCATTCACTTGTAAAGATTTACTTTTCATTCCTGAAAATGTTACATTTTAATTTTTGCATTGTAGCTTAACTTTATGCTTATAATTCTGCTGAATATTAAAGTTTTTGTCATGTTTAACACATTCTTTTTAAGCTGATAAAGCATTCCGTGACATGAAAGTGCTCAAGATGAGTCAGTCCATCATAGTCTCGGGAGAATCAGGAGCTGGCAAGACAGAAAACACTAAATTTGTTTTGAGGTTTGTGTGTTTGGTCCAAATTTTATGTAAATCTCTTGTTTTGATGCGTTTGGTTGACATAGAGACAGAGCAAACTGTAAGGTATCAGTAGGTTTAAGACACAATTCAGTAAGATATTGATTAGCTTCTACATGCACTTCATTATAAGAAATTAATTGAATTAAATGCTGACATGATAATATGTGGGAACAGCTACATGCTCATAGAAACCTTAACCCAGCTGTAGTGATATCATGCAGTTATTAAGGTTTATGATGCAGTCATTTTGGTATTACACATCTGGAATTGTGGTAGATAAAAACCACAACTAGACATTTTGACTCTATCTTGAAAGACACTGTTGGTTTTGCCATAAATGTGCATTTCTCTATTTTTCCTGTCTTAGTTTTTTTAAGTTTGCTTGAGTATCCAGGGTTTTTAACTTTAGCCCTCAATACACTTTACCCTAGTTTACTGAATAAGACTCAATAATGGCATTAAGGTTTTTATTGATGTTCATGTATGACAGATGGTAAATCAAGCATATTAAACTACTTGGAAGCCATATTGCCATATCAACCTTGCTTCCACTTGTTAGTGTTAGACCTTAACTGCTTTTTATCACTCTGGACACTGTAACAGGAGAGCATTGCTCCATTAAATACACCTATATCATAGGTGGCCTGATTATGCAGGGAAGCATTCAGGGCAGAGTGAATACCCTCCCTTCCCCCTCTTGTCCTTGTTTCCCTCTATAAATCTTTAATTCCCTTTTCCCTGACATCATGTATTTTCTAGTGTTTTGTAGAGTAGAGGTATTATCTTCCACATCCCATGAAGAATTGTCCCAACTGTCTGTCCATACTGCTCTTCTTTTCCCCTGTGCAGCCTTTCAGAGATGGCTGTAAAGATTACTGCAAGGTGCTGGTAATAATTTTTATAGGGAACATCCTAACTTTGGTCCTGCTAATCATAAAAAAAGACAGCAGGCACTGGGAGAATATCCCCTGAGGAATGCTCTCAAAGGAGGTTATTCTTCCACTGCTCAGCAAGGGAAGTTCTGATTACACAACAGGCAAATATCATTGCTGTTGCTTGTCCCCACTGCCTGCCCCCATAGAGTCCATGTACAAAACAGAACTGAGTTTTAAAACTTGGGAGATTTTACCCTTGTGTGATCAGAAAGTAAAAGGTACGAATTCAGCTCTGTTAGTTCTTCTAAAGTTGGTGGGGTTTTTTGTTTTGCAAGAAGTGTTTTTAACTTGTCCCAGATTTACTTGTGAATTTCCAGAAAGCATGCCCTGTGCACAGGGGAAACTTTGGAGCAAGTACATTGTGGTTGATTTTCAAATTCTTTCTTCAATTGCTAAATTGGATCTTGCCTTAATTTCCTATCCTCACCATCTCCATGTGGGATTTTCATTAACACAGATAGTTGTGAGCTCAAAAATTGTATGCATGGAAACAGTCCTAAATTTGAGAAATACACATGAAACCTTATGTGTTTACTAAGATTATTAATAAATGCAGATAGTACAGTAATAGTTTGATTAGATTTATGTAAAACTGTAATTTCCATGTGCAGATTTAAAAGGAATTTCTAATGGATCTTGGTGTATTGAAAAAAAGTTGAAACCTGCAAGAATACTTTTGTTTTAACAAAAAAGAAGAGTTAAATTGCATTTATTTTTAAAATGTATTGGTGTTTGAAACTTATAATCAATATGCTTTCCCTGTAGTAAATGATTAGTAAATATTGTGCCTCCATCACCCTGTTTAATTGAGGTAAGCTGAAGTGACATGAACAATACCAATATTTTTATCTTGCTTTACAGGTATTTGACAGAATCCTATGGTAGTGGCCAAGATATTGATGATAGAATTGTAGAAGGTATTGAATTTTCTTTCATTTAACTAAAGGTTCCAACATTTTTTTAATTTATTTGCAGAAGTGTCAGTCAACAGCAACTGAATAAAAGCTAGGATAGAAATACTATCAGACTTCCTAGGGCATAATTTACAGGCAGTTTACCTTGATCCTAGATCCTGAAAAATAAATTTGTAATTCACTTTTTTTTTTTTTAAATTGTAGTATCATACAGTCCTTGATTTAGAAAATGTTTGTGCCTGAGTTGAACTTTACACACACGTACCCAAGATTAGATTTTAAGTTGCATAAAATCTGCAAGGACAAGATATGTTTTCATTACTATCTGTTAGTAACAGGGAGGTATAATTCCTCCTCCTCACCATAAAGTTCTCAAGGTCAGATAAAGCAGAGAAGTTTTAAATTATGGTTCTGGGTCAACTTTTCTGTTACATCTTTTTTTTTTCTTTTTTTGGTCAGAAAACACATAACTTAGATTAATATTTTAATTGTATCTGTATTCATAATAGACTCCCAAATGAGGTCAGAAAAGACTGTGCTGATCATCCAGTTGAGCCTCTTTAATGTTGCATGCACTTCCTAAAGCTGTGTTTGAGAAAATACAACTTTATCAAAAGCAATCAACCTTCAACCAATCTAATAACTTCTCATATGTCAGTTTTAGTTTTCTATAGCGTATAGTAAACTTATTTTGAAATTTTCTGACTCTGTCCTTTTCTTGAAAAACTTGTTTACTTCTTCTTTTGCTTTAAATTTTTCTGTTTTCAAATTCAAAGCACTGGATCATTCAAGAGAACTACTGCAGGCTTTAATCTCTTGTTGCTGTAGGTTTGTTTAACCACTTCTTTAGTGAAATCCACTGTCTGCTAAAGGAACTCAGAAAGTGGCCAAGAGTTGGATAATGCCTGATGCAAATTAATTAGTACTTGTAGGTATTCCTTAAAGAGTTTGGGTTTTTTTAATCTAGAGCAGCATCTGATGCATGAATTCTAAAGTATTTTAGGCATGATTTTAATGAGCACACTTATGGCATGTGTATTACTAGAGGAACCTTCAACCTAGCTGAAAGACCTCTTGCAATTTGTTTTTATTCATAATATTTCCTTTAGAACTTAATAATACATAAAATGCCTGAACAGTTGTCAAAGACCTCTTAAGAAGTCATATTTATGTTTTCATAAGCTTTAAGTATTAAGACAAATTAAAATCTAGCCAAACCAAAAAAGTTAATTCTGATGTCCTACTAAACGATTCATTATCATCCATACTTTAGCCAAGCATTGATGTCATTCCTTCATCCTTTAATTTTTGTAGGAGCACAGATAAGCAGATGGTGGTTGGTGGAGTTTTAAATCTGAGTTTATGCTCACTTAGTCTCCAATGCCTGTTTTTAGCTAGAAGCCTTAAAATATCTTGCAGATATTTTCAATGGTTTATTGTTACCATGATTCAGGACACTGTTTTTCTTTGATCTTCAGAGCTATCACAATGCAGTCTTTCAGAGGCCTTGTAACTCATCACTACTAAGCATTTTCAAACAGCTTAAACTGTGCATGATGTTTGTGTATGTGTAAATGTATATATAGGAATGTATACATATCTATGCACATTAGATTGCTTGCTGCCACTCTTTCTGTATGAGCTCTAAGGTGCTTGAAAACAGCAGCCAGTAAAAAATAAAATCACTCAATCACTTCATTGACCTAATTTAAAAGGGCAGGTTTGAGTAGTTCTTGAAATTAACACACTCTTCCTAATACTTAGTTTTTTTGATTAATTCTCTAATCAATCTGATACATTGCATGCATGACATTTAAGTGGCATTTTTGTCTGTGGGGTAAGTGGGTAGTTGAGATTTTATGAATAATGACTAATTGGGAAGCCTCAAATTGTGTGTTGTCTCGTATAGTTTATGTATCATTTAGTTACCTATTTACTCACTGTAGCAGAACATCACTGCATAATTTTCTCTGAATTTCTTACAGTATCAATTCAAATACTTTTCAGTGCTATGTGATATTTAAGTATTTAATTTTACATTCCACCACACTATATCCAGTACAATTTGCAAAGCTGATTGTTCCTAATAGGTAATATTTATCCTTGAATTTCCGAACCTTATTTCCAAGAAGTTCACTGAATAATTAGTATGTATTTGTTCTCCATTTCTTTTTGGCAATTTATTGATTGAATTTTAACACTACAAAAATTGTGGTTTTTTTTTTTTAAAAAACAGCAAATCCCCTATTAGAAGCTTTTGGAAATGCGAAGACTGTTCGCAACAATAACAGCAGTCGATTTGGGAAATTTGTGGAAATTCACTTCAATGAAAAGGTACTGAAATTTTGTTAAAGCTAACTAGTGATAATTTTATTTTTTTTGACCCAAAATGGAAATTCTAGACTGGCAGAAGGGTGAATGATCTTATTAATCTTGCAGCAAATAGCTACTGTCCTACTTTACAGATTTGATATGTATTCTGTCACCTTGAGAGGAAAACCAGAGCCACACAGTATTGTGTCATTACTGGAAAACAGCGATTCAAGTCAGTAGGAAAATTACTTTCACCCACAAAAGATAAAAATTTGTCTCTTCATTGCAAAAAGGAAGATATGAAGAATAACTCACTGTTAGCTATTCATGCATTCTTTTAATGCACAAATTAAATCAGCGCATAAACTGAGACAGGGGAGATTCAGATTAGATGTTAGGAAAAAGTTTTTGATGGTTAGTGTGGTCAGGCCCTGGAATATGTTGCCCAGGGAGGTGGTAGAATCACCATCCCTGGAAGTGTTTAAGAGGCATCTGGACCTGAGGATATGGTTTAGACGTCACAGCAGAGTGGCAGGTTATGGCTGGACTTGATGATCTTAGACATCTCCTCCAACCTTGATTCCATGAAATAAGTTTGAGTCACATATTAGATATAAATGTATTATCACTTTACATGAAATATTGATTTTCTTATGTATTTATATGAAATTTTGGGACCTCACATAGTAACACATTGACAGAAGTCAAGGAATTGTTTTTTTGACAGAAATACTATTCACTGTGTAAATTAATAAAAGTTTTCTTAGTTCGAGTGTAGTTTTGTTTGGGTCATGGATGTATACAAACATTCCACCATTAAGGGTGACTGTATGACTGTCCAGTATGTCCAAGCTGGAGACTTTTGTTGATAATCTCTCTAGATATTGTGTAAATGCCACCTCATCCTTCTGCCTGGGGACAGAGGAACTGCAAGAATTTGTTTCTTTTCCTGCAGAATTTAAGCTCATCATCTGGTCTTGAGCTTGCAGTCTTTTTCTAAGTTTTCCTAACTTGGTTTTGTAACTAAGCTTCAGATCTTTGGATAATAGTTCAGATAATAAATAGCTAAATTCCTTTCTGGGTAGACAGTCTTCATCTGTTGGTCTGGTTCATGTTAATATACTCATGGAAAGGATCCAAATTTCCAGTTGAAATGATGCATTCATGATCTGTCAACACTTACATGGTGTTTAGGATTAATTGCTTCAGCTGAAGCAAATAGCACTCAGAGCATCTTCAGAAGCTGCTTAAAAGCTTGTTTCAGCTTTCCACTGCAAGATCAGCCTGTTTATTTGAGCCTCTTGTTTCACAAGACATCATACCTCACTTTGTGGTCACCTTATTAGGTCTGGGTTCTCAAAGCAATATGTGTATAGACTGAGACCTCCTGAATGAGAGAACAACTGCATAACCATAGTCAAATTTGTCAGACAGTAAGCCCTTCTTATTTGCTGTATTGGCCATTAAGCTCAGGAATTTCCTTGCTATTAAGATTTCTCTAGTCACAGGGAATTTTATTGTAGGCCAGATAACAAATGGCTTTCAAAATTGCTGTAACTTCTGTCTCAGATAAGAAGTGTCCATATTTGAAATAAAATGTTATCTCATAGTTTGCCTAAGGTGTTTGCCTAATTTTTACCCTTCCTTCCTTTTTACAAGTCTCAGAGAAATGCAACTAGAGAAGGTTGTAATAGCATTGCCATCCAAAATGTGTAAGGCTGTAGCAATGCTCTTCGCAGTAACTGCTGGTATTCTAGAAAGGACTTTAGCTTTTTGGGGTGAAACAGACTCTTCTTTTAAGAGGATTGTATGTATACACAAAACATGAGCTTGGGGGAGAAGTTATGTTAAACAGTGGTTTCTTAGCTGTGTTAATATATATTAGGTATAGATGTATTTTAATCTTCTTTGGAGCAGTGTCCATTGAGCAAGCTGTGATCAGACAAATGTAAATTGAAAACCTGAACTAATCCAAAAAATATTCAGATAATCAGAAAATTATTTCTTCCTCCTAGAACTCGGTGGTTGGTGGATTTGTATCACACTACCTTCTGGAGAAATCAAGGATCTGTGTGCAAGGAAAAGAAGAGAGGAATTATCATATTTTTTACAGGCTTTGTGCTGGTGCTCCAGAAGACATTAGGGAAAAGTTGTATCTTAGTTCTCCTGACAACTTTAGGGTGAGTATCAGAGCCAATGTTTGTAAAACTCCTCATATTGTCATAACATGGATTTTTCATATAGATCTTATTAAAATCTCTATATATTATCTTTGACAGACTCATTCCTATTGCAAAGATTAGAATTATTTTTATTTTGTTAGACCTGTTTGCTCTTGAAATTAAGCTCCCTGACATTTTTCCTTACTGGAATATTTCCTATACTTTTTCTCTGTCTTAAAATTTAGGAATCTTTGCTTTTCCAGAAAATGTACTATTGCATACTCAGCAGCTAGTAATGCTGTTACTGGCTCTTCTAGAGGTGTAAAGTGTGAATTTCTTGATTGTGACTTAACTATTCTGTGGGTAACTTGTATTTTAAGTCCTAAAATCTGCATTTGTTTCTTCCCATTCCAACAATATGTTTAGGAAGATATATGTGTTGTCCCATAGTTGTGTCTCTTAAATAATTCTTTCCTTATGCTTGCACCAAGGAGCAGACTACTGTGCACAGGTGGTTGTATTTCTCTGTTACAGTCCATATGCTTTCACATTACTTGTCTTTTCTGTGCTGTTCTATCTTGTTCCTGTCATACTCTACACTCCAGACTGTCATTTGTAGTGCTCCAGTTTTGTGCCTCTCTCGTTCCTCTCATCATACTCCTCTGTCCTTCTCGATCACTCCAGGTTACAAGAGAAGACTCACCAAACCTTCCAGTTGAAATCTTACCCTTTTATCTCCCAAAGTCCATGCTCAGCTCCTCCTGACAAGATTACTTCTATTCATTAAGCATGATCCTCCCTCTTAGGTTTTTCCTTCACTTATTTATTCTTTCCTGAGGATTACTTATTGTTTGCAAGTTTTGGTTATCTTTCCACACTCTGTTACTGGTCCAGTCACTCAAGCGATGGTGAAGCTAATAGAATGTAAATAAAACCAGTGCTTAATGTAATACTCCTAACTATACCTAAATGAAAGTGAACTTAACCAGCAGGGAATGACTTGAATCATTGTGCATGCTTATTTAAAAATGTTGGGTTCACGCTCAGTGGCAGGGAAAAAGCAGAGCAGAATTTTAGAGGTTGTTAGAAAAGGAAGGGAGAATGAATTATTGAGTTATGCTGCAATATACATCCATATTTCTAAATAGCATACACAGTTTTGTCATCCCGACTCGGAAAGGAACGGTAAAATCCTCAGCTGGAGCAGAGGTTGTGGTTACAGATAAACTCTTGGATAGTATGGGCCTTTTAATTCAATCCAGTCTGCCTGTTCTTGCAGCTTCTGATTTGTTGTGTTCCCTTCTTTTCTCCATGCTTTATTTTTTGGGGTTTTGCCTTTTCTGAGATTGTTGTTTCTTCTGATTAACCCTGATTCTGTGCTATGTTTCTAGTAGCACACCCACATACAGGCTGGTTTTCTGTCTTACCAATAAATTCTTGCATTCTTTTCCTCCAATTTTCCACTTTATTATTTTTATTTTTATTATCTCAGCTTAACTTTTAACTTCTTCATCTTTCCTTCTTTCTTCTCCCCTTCTCCATATTCAGATTTTGCTGAACTGTGTTTAGTCATTTAGGCTAATAATGTGATGTTTCCTGTTGTTTTCTTTCCCTCCTCAAAGTTTTTTCTCTATTTTGTTTTGTTTGCCTCACTAACTCCAACCTAATTTCTTTTATTTTAAAAGTATCTTTTAATTTCTCAGTGTGTTGCATCTTGATTATTGTGGTGGGATTTTTTCTTCTTGAGAAAAGAATGCTGAACTCTTATCCAGCCAGCATAGCTTTACTGATACAGCTGTTTCTCATCATTTCCCAGACCATGCCTTCTTTTTCTCTTCAAAGCAAACTTCTGCTCTCCCTTTCAGGGTCCTTCCAAGCCTATTCATATCTTACACTCCCATCACCAGTTTGGTAGTAAGGTGAAAACTCTTGCCTTCTCTCACTCAAAAAAAAAAATTTTATCTAATCACCCAAGTGCAATGGTACTCAGGTGTTTTATATGATAACCTCAAACTGTTTGTGTTCTTTTAAAAATATGATTTCTCCTAGATATAGTAGGTAAATTTACTTGAGTGTTTAGGTTTCAAATGAAAGCCATTGTCTTGTGATTCAATGTCTCCTACATAGATTATGGTTGAATACCATGCTGCTTCACTTTCTCAGACTTATCTGACGTGCAATGGTACTCAGGTGTTTTATATGATAACCTCAAACTGTTTGTGTTCTTTTAAAAATATGATTTCTCCTAGATATAGTAGGTAAATTTACTTGAGTGTTTAGGTTTCAAATGAAAGCCATTGTCTTGTGATTCAATGTCTCCTACATAGATTATGGTTGAATACCATGCTGCTTCACTTTCTCAGACTTATCTGACAGATAAACTTGCACACTGTCTTCTTGAAAAGTATGACCTTTTATACTTTTCCCCAGTTGCTGGGATCATGTTACTAATACTGTAATACAGACATATATTGTGTCTAAAATATTCTGTGCTTTGCATTCTTAGTGGCTGATAAAGAAAACTTTACAGTACTTTGTTAAACACTAAGCTAACTTTGAACAGTTGTCACTTTGTTTTAATATTAAATTTGTCACCTAGTTTTCTTCTGCTTTAAGAAATGCTTTGAAGAATGTTTTGGGTTTTAGAATTTTGCATATAAATTTTAATCAAAGTGCAGAATTGTCTGTGTCCACCTAGTTGAAAACATCTTCTTTGTTCAATCAGAGAGCAAAGAATCAGTTCACTTCCTTTAGACAAAGGGCTCTGTCCAAGCTTTTGGACAGAGTTCTTACATTCAGCTGAACAAATCAGAAAGAAAAAGCTGGCAATCCTGTTTTGCTGAAAGGGACAGTCATTATGTGAATCTAAATTCAGTCTGATTTACTGAATAGTAAATCTGAAATTACTATACAACATGAGATGGATATCAAAGCCAGGTTCTGACTTAGGCTTCTGCTTATACCATGTTATAAGCTTTTACTATTATTCAGGTTTTTTAATACACTATGTCTCTTATTACCTCTAGAAATATTTCACTGGTGAGGAAGAAATTAGTAATATTGCATTACACATAGAACAGAAAATTAATTTTTTTGTTTCCTAATTCTGGTTGTCTTCTCTGTAATCCCAGACTCCATTAATAGTAGAATCAAATATTTAAGAAAAGATTGTGTGACTTAAAAAATGAATATCCCACTCTGTCAAAAAGTATTTTAGTTGTCAAAATCGAGACACTTTCAAAAGACGTTTGTTACTGTTGCAGTTTTTAAATTTTGTAGATAAATAGATATATTTTTTCAAGGAAAGAATGATGAAGATTTACCATGTTGTTTGTATCATGTGGTTAAATCAAGCTGTGTAGTGCAAGCCTTAAATAAAAGCATAGGTTTTCCTTAATTCTGTCTTTAAATAAGCATTATCCTTTTTTATTGTTGCAGTATTTAAATCGAGGCTGTACCAGATTCTTTGCAAACAAAGAAACAGACAAGCAGATTTCTCAAAATCGCAAGAGCCCTGAGGTATGTTTGTGTCTTCAGTTAGTTTATATTATTAACTAATATAGAATTGAAAATGATTCAAATTTTACAGTGTGGAATGAAATGTTCATTTTACACATCTTTATGGGTCGAAATGGGTACTGTCAAAGCTGCTATATTCAGAATTCTCTTTTGGAGTTCAGTCCCAGAAATACATTTTAACAGGCATCATAAAATCCCAAATGGAACAGTGTATATAAAATGGTTTCCTTTTCATTCTTATAATAATGCAACACTTAATGATGCAGCTTGTCTTCTGTGGAAAACAAAAATCTGTCCAAACTTTTTGTAATTTTCTTTTTCGAAATCTCACTACTGTTGGGAATAGGTCAGGAGGCCAGAAAAGTAGGATATTTCAGAGCCATTTTTACTATCTGAAGTTTTGAAGTGATCTCCAAACTGTTTCTAAATCAGTAGTGCAACCTCACTTCTAGCACTGTACACTTTAATGTTTTTTGTTGTCCCTTTGCTATTAACTGCTAATTATGTCAGAGCATGGCATTTCCTGGAAGAAAGTTTCAAACTTCAAAACATTAATTTCCTCTTGCTCCATCACTGTTTACATTTTTAAAAGCTGGAATGAGCAGAATTTGTAGCATTTTTGCTACAAATGGGAAAGCCTTGAGCTTGTGAACATGAGGATTTGATCTGAATTAATAGTGCATATGAATTGGAAGTTGTTTAAACATTTAATTAAACTTCTACTCTGCTCATCTACTCATACCTAAAGTATGAAATTCTCACTTGTATAGCTGGAACATATTTCTAATACTAATCAAAGTCATATTTGTGATTCAGTAGCAGGACAAGGTGCATATATATCTGGAAAAAAATACAAAAATAACTTTACTCAAGAGCTCCTCTCCACCAAATAACCTTGCCATCTCTTTTACCTTTGATAACTTCACCTTGAAGCTCGTGCCTAACTATGAGAGGCAGCATAGATACTTCCTTTGCTCAAGTCAACATTGTAAAGTGATTTTATATTGTAACACTGAGAACTTAGTCCTGATCTGTTTTGATTAAATGTAGGCTATTTTCTGTAATCAGAGATGGTGGAGAGTGAGATACAAAGATGCAGGTTTACCATTACTGTGAGGCAGAAAGCTGGTAGGCATTTCATTCTCATCAAGCACATGGGCTAGGAGAGGGTTGGAAAATTTTGCCTCAGTTTACCCAATTTGTCTTATATGAAGCTTTGTAGTGAAGCTGCTCATTTATGTAGGCATTGAGTATCAACATTCACCTATTCTTGCTACTGCAAGATGAATCTGTGCAACCTTCTGTTACTGATGTGATTTGCAGGCTGGTGCTCTGTCATCAAAATTGTCCTCTAAAGGACTTAATTTGAACTCTTTGTCTAAACTAAAACATAGTGAGAGAGTGATAATGAAAATATGCATAAGACATGAAATACTGGAACAGAAGATGCCATATTACTTGTGTGTTACAACTAGAGTGACGAGGCATTGGAATGTGCTGCCCAAGGAGGTGGTGGATTCACCATCCCTGGAGGTTTCAAGCTGAGACTGGATGTGGCACTTAGTGCCATGGTCTGGTGACCATGGTAGGGTTGGACTTGATGATCTTGGAAGTCTTTTGCAACCCAGCTGATTCTATGATTCTATCAATTTGAAGGCTTTGTAAACGATTAAATTTAAGTGATATTTAAACCTAGTCTAGCCATTTAAACAGGAAACATATTGCATTGTTCAGGTTTCTAAATCAGAAATTTAGTATTTGCTCTCTCATTTTAAAAAAAAATAATAAGACTGTTCATTTGAATAAGAGTGGCTGGAATAGTAAATTAATATTTCAATTATTTTTGTGTTTTCCTTATCAGGAAGATGAGGTGATCATTTTACATAATTAACATGTAGTTTAATGTTATTGCTGTGTCTACATGTTGTGTGAAGTGAATTTTTCAGATGCATGTGGTGTTTTGTTTTCATAAAAATCGTGTTAGCTTATTTGACATTAGCAAGGCTTCTATTCAGCTAATTATTCTTTTTAGTTGAAAACATTTAAAAATAACTAAAACCATAGCTTAGTCTGTGCATGTTCAGGTAGTCTCTTGATTGCATGCCAATGTGTTACTATCTACTATTTAAACCAGTTTATAGTTAAAATAAATTTTGATTATTTAAATTAGAAAAAACAGCAAAATATTAAATTGCTATTACAGAATGTAGCTGGTATTCTTCTAACCCACAGATCTCTGCAAACAACTTCTCTGTTTCTTAATTACTAGCAAATGTTAACTAGTATATTTCTCTAAATAAATCTGTTTAGAGTAGGGATAACTCTTCCAGTTGTGATTTGTCCTATACTCCTTTCCCATGGCCTGTCATTCTGTCATCCTATTACAAGGACTTCAGTCTTCTTTCAACTGCTTGGGGCTAGAAGGATTCCTTTGGATAAATGCTTCAATAGTTCCCTTAACCACTCTGCTCACTATGCCATATTCCCCTGTCCTTTGCTGTCACGTTCTCCAGCCTCTGCTTTCTGAAGATAGTTAGAAGTTTGCTTTGAAATTTAAGTTTGAAGATCATACTTCGAAGTATCACAAATGAAAACAAATTAAGGTACTTGCAAAGCCTGTATTGTGTGAAGAGCTCGAATCTCTTTCTAGTTAGTTTGGCATGCTTTTTGATGCTTTTTTGTTATGGTTTATTCTTGACTGGAACTATTTACTAATGTTTACTTTAAATCACTTACTGAATTTTTGGTTTATTTTGTTTCATAGTATCTTAAAGAAGGTTCCTTGAAGGATCCACTGTTAGATGATCATGGAGATTTCAAAAGAATGTGCACAGCAATGAAAAAGATTGGACTGGATGATGAAGAAAAACTTGATCTTTTTAGAGTAGTGGCTGGTGTTCTTCACCTTGGAAATATTGATTTCGAGGAAGCTGGGAGTACTTCAGGTTAGACGAAACACATTTTCAGTGTTTCTACAGAAAACAATTTCTCTGGATTAGAGATATTTCCTTTGCATGTGGATTATGGCTTCAGAAAGCTGCCTTATGTTCAAGGCTAATTCACTCTTAATGCACCACATTTTGAAGTCAAGTTTACCTATTTGTTTTATAGTTATACTTCTTTACATGCTCTGAAAACAAATAGGCTCTCTCTGCAATTGATAAAGAACTTGTTCAGTGCAGAGTTTGATATAAAGAAAAGAGGCATTTTGTGTCCTTTGGGTTCATGTTACTTTGGGTTACTTGGGGTTCATCACGTTACTGTTTTGAGAGGTGGTGAAAAAAGTTACATAAAAAGCTTAGGTAAGTGTAAACTTCCTAATTTCAAGATATTGCTCACAAGATGAGTGAGCATACACTGGGACTTAGTGCAGGAAGGCTGAGGATAATAAAATCATAGCTGGGACTTAGTGCAGGAAGGCTGAGGAAGGAGAATCAGTATTTTGGAAATGGTTATTCTTGTTTTACTACTGTAATCAGTCTCTCTAATTGAGAACTGCTGTCCATGTATTTCTGAAGGATCAAAGAAACTCCTGGTCTGGATGTACTACCAATCAGCCTCTCTAAGTTGAGAACTGCTGTCTGTGTATTTCTGAAGGATGAAAGAAACTCCTGGTCTGGATGTACTACAAATATAACCAGTAGAAAAGATTAGTATATAGGTCTCTATCTTGAGTTGCAAGATAGAGTGAAACTGTTTCCTATTGGTCCTGCTTGTCTAGCTTGTGGTAAAGTTGTTCGGAAGGGCATACCAAAGAACATTTTAAAAGGTGTTCTGAATGCTTAATTAAATGAGCACTAGCCTTACAGGTTTGATAGCTCCTGACCCCAAGCACAGAATCACAACATAACTGTACAAACCATTCTGTTCAGAAGAGGTCATGGGAGGTTTCTAGTCCCATATGTCCTGATCAAAGCAGGGCCAATGCTGAATTCAGACTGGGTACCTTAAGGTTGGCACAGGCTGACAAGGCAAGTGTGAGTGGAGAAGCAGGAGGCAAATGGACAAGAAGAGGGCACAGATGGTGAGGAAAGTTTGGGTTTAGAAAAGGAGAGGTAATCAGAAAATTGATGTTTTCTGAATATTGAAATCCAGACACATTTTTTTTTCTGAAATAAATTATTGAACTTCTAAAATGTTCGTTGAAAATACAGGCTTTATTCAGCTCTCACCTCGTATGTATTCACACAGGGTGTGCATTTGAACTGCTCCAGGCAGTATGTCTCTTACCAGAGGCCCTCTAAAGTTCTATTGCTGCTTCCAGGGAAACAGCAAACACAAGTTGTTTACTACAGGTCAGAGAGTGTTTCAGAGCTTCCAAGATTAAGTAAAAAAAATCAAGTCACAAAAGCCTTAAACTTTTAAGTACTTCTTTCTCCTTTTTATTTTATTTTTTATAATGTCATTATAAAGTTAAGGAATTCAAGCAGTGTTTGATTAGTAATTTATCCCTTTGAGTCACTTCACTTACCTGCAGAAATAAATTTTACTGTGAATGAATTTTTACTCCAAACAACAGGAAATAAATATAAAAAGATGTTAGGTATTACTAAAGTGTTTAAGCATTTTGCTTGGAGATCTGTGCTGGCTGAGCCCTGGCACCGAGGCCAAGGTGCAGAGCAGCAGGGAACATGTCTCTGGGCTGTTTACCTAGGAAATGTACATACTGTTATCTGAATAAAACCCAAGTGCCAGGAGTCTGGTGTGCCAGGCACTTCTGCTGCATAGCAAGGAAGCCTGGAGGATTAGAGGATTCAGAAGTTTAAGTCACTACAGTGAGTTTGTACGTATTAACACTTCTGCATTTTGGGATACTTCCTGTCTACAAGCAGGTTGGCTTTTGAACAGCCTGTGTTGTGTTTAGGACAGTGTTCAAGAAATACAGAATTTCAAGTGTAATTTTCAGGTGGGGTTATTCTTGTGTTTGTTTTGGGATTTTTCTTGTGTTTTGAGGACTGACTCTTCCCATTTAACTACATGAAGTAATTTCCAGGCAAATTTTTAATTCCTTTAGAGTTGATGTTATCCTTACTTGATAACGTCATACATTTGTCGTGGTTTAACCCCATCTAACAACCAAACCCCACACAGCAGCTCACACACTCCCCCACCAGTGGGATGGGGAGGAGAATCAGAAGAGTAAAAGCTAAGAAAGCTCATGGGTTGAGATAAAGACAGTTTAATAGAGAAAGCAAAAACTGCACACACAAACAAAGCAAAACAAGGAATTAATACACTGCTTCCCAAGGACAGGAGGTGTTCAGCCATCTCCAGGAGAGCAGGGCCCATCACGC